TAACAAGCCTGTGAAAGTTTGAACTCAGTCAGTCACCGGAGTCACAAGAAACTTGTGAAAAACTGTTTCAATTTGTCTCAGCAAATAGTCGTTGATTGTCATAGAAAGCTAATGATCGTTCATCTGAACCATCGTTCTTGTTGTTGGAAAACCACAAAATTAATGTCTTCTAGAAAATGGAAGAATTTCAGGTGCTAAAATTTCTCTGGATGACTTGTACATGTATCTGTATACACTTACCGGTACAACTACAAGAATGAAATTTCATACAAGTTTATTCAACAACTCTGATTTGGGTTTCTACAAATTGTGAATCTTCCTTTTAAACTTCAAGGTCAGAACCATCCACTATTGGAGAGTTTTGCTTTAGAGAGTTTTGCTTTAGGAACAATATATTTGGGATGAAAAACTATATTTTAAGGCCATTTCATTCTTTTGGACTGAACCGAAATGTATTTATGAATGGGAATAAATGTGTTTAGTCGGTATTATAACACTACACTGTATGTTTAAATCTTCGTGTAGTTTTGATACTGATTATTACCCAAGCTGTATGATTTTTTTCTCACACGGTTGCTGGAGGTGCTCTTTTGAAGAGGCTGTATGGTTTTTCAGGGTTGCAGAGCCCTGAGTCCCTTCTAAAGGCATCTAAATTCTTTAGTGGTTGTTCCTTAGCCTGTACAGCTTTTAAAACCCACCAAAAGTACGCCACAGTACGCTTGGGGCCCTTATTTTTCCGGGCGACCTGGTTTCGGAGAGGGGGGGTGTGTCAGCAAGGTCACACATAATACATAATATTGAGCATTTTAACAGACTGTCCTGATTTACCTTTTATCCTTCTCTGTTTTTTTACTGAGGCTTGTCATACAGGATTTTTTTACTGAAGTGTTTGTCACAAAATGTTGGTTGCTGATTAATTTTTCCCAAATAGTTTGTTAAGTTTAGTAAGTTCTATTCCATAACTGGATATCTCTGGTGTATGGCCTCTCTTATAATATCTGGCATTTTCTTTGAATTGATTC